TGAGCTGCTTCCACAGTCATCTTCTGAGGTGTCCCCTCTGTCTAAAGACCTGGGCAGCCAACACCGTGCCGTTTAAATACGTGGTGGTAATGGTTTTGTCCTTGCTGTCTAGAGAACAAGTCACACGAGGAGAGCCTGAGGGAACTGGGCATGTTCAGTTTGGAGAAGAGGAGGCTGAGGGGAGACCTCATTGCCCTCTACAACTCCCTGAAGGAGGTTGTGGAGAAGTCAGTGTTGGCCTCTTCGTAATAATGACAGGAGCAGAGGAAACGGTCTGAAGTTGTGACAGGGGAGGTTTAGATTAGATATTAGAAAGAATTAGTTTACTGAGAGAGTGGTCAGGCAGAGAACAGCCTGCCCAGGGAGGTGGTGGAGTCTCCATCCCTGGAGGTATTTAAGAAACGTGTAGATGTGGCACTTCAGGGCACCCGAGATTGTGGGGGCCTTTTGTGTGTGTATGGTTGGACGTGGTGATCTCAGAGGTCCTTTCCAGCCATGAAGATTCAGTGATTCTGTGTGGTGTCTGTGTGACATCCTTTCTTCCTGTTGTTCCTGTGTGGGTTCTGATGAGCCCCGACTGCTCGATTCAGCCCATCTGCAGAAGCCATCAGGCCGCAGATGCTTACGGGAGGCTGGTGGAACAAATCGAGGTGAAAGATGACTTGAGCTGTTCTCGGCGTTGAGTCAAAGCACAGGAAATCTGCCAGGAGACCTTAAAGACGGGGGTTAAAGGCAGATTCCCCCGGTGCTGCCTCCACTGGGGTGTAACGAGGTGTCCTTCTCCTCTTCGAGGACCAAGGGATGAACGCTTGGGTTTGTTTTGCAGTAGTAAGTGGAACTGGTGGCCACGGGAGAGGTTGGTTCCCATATCCCACTTCCCAAAGAGTTCCTCCTTCGTGGTGGTTGCGCGCTCCCCTTCCCCAGGAGATGTGAAGCCTTGAGGCTCCATCACTAGATGGATCGTGTGGAGCGCGTGGTGGCACAGATGCACGGGGAGAAGTCACTGGAAAAGATGCGTATCTTGTGTCCTGGCTTCTTTTTTTTATTTTTTTTTTATTTTTTTTTTCCTGTAAACTCAAGGCTTTGTGAAGTCAAGGCTTCAAACGAAGCTGCAGCGACAGGAGAGAGCTGCAGCTCGTATTTAGAGTGCTGCAGCCAAGTTCTGTCAGCCTCGCAGTGCACTTCAAGGGTCATCCGTAGGCGTCAGAGAAGATCTCAAGACAATAATAGTGCTCTATTTTAGCATACTCATTACAAAGTATAACTGCCCTCTGCCTCTAGCAACTATTTTTTTCCCCGTACTCAAACGGTGCAGGAGTGGAAAGGCCGTTGTCACGAGCAGCAGTGTTGCCTCTCTGCCTAATTCCCTCATTGTCTTTTCAAATGAGACCTTTTCTCTTTCTCCGTGGACTCTTGCAAGGAAAATAACCTTCAGCAAGAAAAAAAAAAAAAGATAGTTTGCAGTGGTGTGCTTGTAATTATTGGTGTATTCATCTTGAAGAAAAAGCAATCAAACTACTGGGCTTTTTATGCTGACGGGGAGCTGTGCTGAGAGACTGGTGCCTTTTCATGGAAGGAGATGTGGTTTTGAAAGAAGTTGAAATGCTGTTTACGAATCGTGAGAGAACTGATATCTCAATCTCGCCATCGTCAGCGTGGAGTGGGAGTGGGGCAGCGGGTTCCTCCCGTCCTGATTTCTGTAGTTTCGCTAATGTAACGTCTCTGGAGAGTGGGTTTTCCTGTGTCTGAATAAAAAGGACAAAGGGAACTGCTGAATTCCTTAATTCCTTCCAGCATCAACGCAGGAGGGGGATGCTCTTAAGTACATGGCTGTAGTGTGACCAGCTGGTCCCCCCGAGCTGGGGCAGCTGAAGGTGTTCTGAAAAAGCAGATTTTAGAGGGAGCTTGGACCCCTGCTCCATCCCTGAAAGGCTCATGAAAGGCATTGGCTGCTCCTGCCCCAGGTGCTGAAGAAAGAAGAACCTTTTTAACATCTTACTTGGTTCATCTTGAACAAAGAGAAGCGCTCATCTCGCCTATACTGGTTTTAATTTTGCATCTTCTGTGATGTCTTTTTATTCTCTTTTCTTTTTTTTTTTTCCTGAAGAAGCAACAGTTCTTTGATGTATTCTTACGCAGTATCAAAGCAACTTCATTAAAGAAGTTAAATTAGATGTCTTGGTTCATAACACAACACTGTCTCCCATATGCATGGTATACTTTCCCAGTTACAGCTTTCCCCTGGACTCTGAAGGGCCAAGATTCACCTGTGATCCCATTGCTTTGTCTGATTTGGAGGGTTATTTTCTGTCCTTCCCTCTGTGTGTAATCATCAGAAAAACTCTGTGCTCCTTGCTTGTTGTTTCCTGTAGATGTGCACAGCAAATATTTAATAGTGACATTAAGTCTCTCATATGCAGGATGGCCTATCCATTAACAATTCCCATTCTCTGCTCCTGTTCTACGGCAGCCAAGGAGAAAGTAAAGCTTCTCTGCCCTGTTGTTAATGTGTCTGACACAAGACTTTTTAAAGTAGAGGGTGCAGAGGATACACAGTGGATCCTCCAAGTGCTGGAAGGAATAGTGACAGCCCTAAAGCCTGTAAACTCCAGAAACATTATTAGTAAGTTGATCAATCCAACACTCCAGTACAGCCTGCCCCTGGGAGAAGGACCCTTCCAGCTGGAAAGCTGCAGTATTTGGGATTTAGGAGCATGAACTCTTCTTATTGTGCGTTGTGTGTCTCCAACTCAAATTAAAACCAGCCGTGACCCGGGCAGTGCTGCTTGTCCACCCTAGAGGTTGGTGAGCTTTGAGATAATGGCAAGGTACTTCTTCCTGTAGGGAAGCAGCCTGAGGAAATAATAGCATTTAAATTCTGGGATGGAATCTGCGTGGATTTTTAGGAGGAGGGAGAAAAAAAAAAAAAAGCCTTTGCTGCTCTGAAATTCTGCTGCTAATCTAATTTCTGTGCGATTGCCTCCCGTTGCATCAGTCAGTTTGGTGCAGTGCTCCTGGTGGGTTTGGGAAAGGGCTGGGGATAAATGCAGCGTGGGAATAATCACTCGGCTTCGTTTCCCGGCTCTTCCTCTGCTGACACGTATCCCTGGGATTGACAGCTCTGCACAACGGGAGGATGGAGTCCTCCTGGCTCCACAAAAACCCCGTGTGCGAGTGCATCATCCTGAGGGGAGAACGACGCTGATGCTCCGCAGCCTGCGCATCCTCTGCGCTGCCAGCAGGCAGATACGAAATGTTACTGGCAAATGTGACTACGAGGCGGAGGAGAAGCCCTGGAAAAGGAAAAGAAGCCCTGGAAGAGTTTTCATGTGGTTGCCCGGCCCCCCTGTTGCTGTTCAGTCCCGCCGACGTGCCGCGGCGTGGGGTGGGAAGAGTCTCAAAGCGCCGCGCGCTCGGCAGCTGATATTTTCTTCGAGTGCCGAGCAATTAATTTGGGCAAGCGTGGAGTTGTATGCGTGCGGTAATTAACGAGGAAAGCACCTCAGGCCAGCATAACAAGGTGGTGTGGGTGTCCTTCGTTTTGAGATTGTTCCTGGTTAATTGCAGCAATTTAACCGACTGGATCGATGTAACACCCCTGTGCAGTCATGTCAGCATGCCATTAGGCAGGTATTCTTAAAAATAGGTTAAATGCAATGGGCTCTGCCCAAAAAAGCACCTGCCCTAGGGCACCTTGTTATTTAAATAAGAATGTGTAGTCCTGTGTAAACTGTCAGCAGTAATCCTTTTACAGGGCTGGCTAAATTCTGAAGCTCTGACATGTAGACCCGTTCTCTTCCTTATATAGGGCTGGATAAGTGCTGGGCAGTAATGAGATTGGAATAAAAGGCTTTGGTAACGAAGATGAACTGGCAGTTCCAGCTGAATCTTAAACTTATCCCTGGGTGTACGTGGACTTCAAACAACTCGGGCGTGGGTCCGTCTCGCTGGAGTTGGACCCGATGCCTCTGTTTTGAGCTTCTGCTTGTGAATAGTGTTGGGTCGCTCCGGCTTCACCCAGATGGAAACCCCCTACCCTTTAGGTTTGCCTTTATTGAGGTTTGATGGGGAGGGAGGGGGGATAAAATTCCAGCAGTTGCGCATATCAAAACATTTTTAGTGTAATTCCTCGCGATGGTTCTTATTCCAGAGTGGCTGGGTTTGTTTTTATTTCATTGGAAGAAGTTTAAGCTGCGTTAATAGAAGCTGTTCTGGAATAAGAGAATCCATGCGGGATACTGAATTAATATAATTTTATCTGGTTTAATTCCTGGTGTATTTTATACTTCCCCTGTGCAGGCAGGATTATTAGTGTTCCGCTTAAAAATATCTGTGGGAGTACTGTTTTGGGTAGTCAGATACGGTCAAGGGAAAACGTCATCTCTGCTGCCTGCTCTGTCCTTGATGAGTTTATACATCGGTGCGAGAAAACCCTGCAGGAAGGGACTGAACCCACCAGCAGGTACTGGTCCTGGAGAGTCTCAGCCTAAATGATTGCTGTAGGTAAGAGATGGCAGGGCTCAAGAGAAAAGCAAAGGCAGCAGTTGAAATCATTCTGTTTACTTTCGTGTTTACTCTCTTAGAAGAGACAGGGATGGGATCAGGAAAAGAAAGGGAACTTGAAAGAGAGGAGGCTGGGGCTTGGCTGAGGGGGCTGCTCACCGGGAGGCGGTAGAAACGGGAACTGAAGGAACGTTGGGTTTTTCTGTGCTGGCATCTCCACCCAGCACCAGCAGTGACTTGTTCTGCTCCGTTTTCTTACCACCAGGGAGGCTGGAGGTGGGTGCAGGCAGGGAAAGGAGGCGGCGAGTGGGTGGTTGGATTTTTACCTGGATGCACCTGAGCTGTTTCTCGCGAAGCGGTACAAGTCCGAGTGGGTGAACGTGGAACAACTTAGAAACATTTTATTATTTTATTTTTTTTTTTTGGATAGTGACTCACTGCAACTTACCCAAAGTGACCTGATTTAGTTAAATGAGGCTAAATATAACCCATGTGAAAAGTACTGACATGTGGGAGGAGACGACAGCAGTTGGCTCTCAGCCCCTCTGTTCTGCAGGGAACATCTTTCACGACTGGTGACTAATAATTTTTTACTCTTGCTGGCTTTGGAAATAACATCTCTGCTCCATTACCCCCTTCTAGGGAGACGATGAAAATGCGCTGTTCCTAATCCGTTGCCTCTTATCTGCCTTTCTGAATTTCAGCTTACTGCTATGGACAGTGCTATCACCCTGTGGCAGTTCCTCCTCCAGCTCCTCCAAGAGCCTCAGAACAAGAACATCATCTGTTGGACCTCCAACGACGGGGAGTTCAAACTGCTGCAGGCAGAGGAGGTGGCCAGGCTCTGGGGAATCCGCAAGAACAAGCCCAGCATGAACTATGATAAACTCAGCCGTGCTCTCAGATACTATTATGTGAAGGTAACAAAGTCTGTAAATCCACCTCAGATCCTTATCCATCTTACCAGCTTCTGCCTAATGAGCTTTGTTTCCTTTTTCATTCTCTTCAAGGGGATAGGTGTCACTTCTGTCTCCCAGACTTAAGGCATGCTAGTTTATGTTTAGAGGGGGTTTCTTCTTTCATTTATCATTGTGCTGCATTTCCTCCCCCTTATTTTATAAGGTTCTGGATAGCTTTGTGCAAAATGTTGTTGCCTTTGCTCATATGAATCTGTCTTTGAATACTGATCCCCTTTCCAAAAATACACGCCCTTGCAAGGGTTAAAATCCCCAACACTCCAGTTTAAGCAACAGAATTATTGCGGTGATAGAGATGGTGAATATTGCACCACTTGGAGATCTTTTCTGCAGTTGTCTCCAGGAAAGGGCTATTGAAATAAGGATTTTCAGTAAAGCAGCCCAAAGTGTTTTTCTTTTTCTCCACGTATTCGGAGTGGCACCTCTGATGTGGTCAGCAGGTTTAGTCCAGCAGAGTGAGATGCTTCTGTTATTTAGCAAATGTCTTCTAATAACCCCGAGAGCCTTTCATTAGCGCACAGGTAGTGTCAGAAGCTGAACTGGAACCCCAGTGTGGGAGTCTTCCCTTCGTTTCAATAAGCCATTTATCCCACAACTGCTATTGTGTGGGTGTACCAGATAAAAAATAAAACAGGGTTTCTGAGGAACCTGTCAGTTTGCAGCAGGTGGTAGGTTGCTTATTGTTATTGAGTTTATTATTGGGTAGCACAAATCTGACTTTGTACTCAGAGGTCTCAGTAATAATAATTGTACGATAAATAAGAAATCTTCTGAGGTCTGGACTGTGTGTGGCGTTTCCCTGAGGAGCAAAACGAGTTTGACATATGCTGTTTTGTGGTATTGAAATAGCTGATTAGCCTACGTTCTGCTGACTCGTTCAGCTACTTATTTTCTTCTATTATCATCTGATTAAGAGTAAAGGTGGTTCGAGTCAAAGCATTAGCTCTCAATTCTGCAAACCTGTAAGCTTTGATTCTGCAGGTTCTCCTCTTAGGTTACACTTCCTGCACCCAGGTCGGCGGTCTTTGGTGAGGGTAATGGGTGGTGTTTTGTTGTTTCTGAGCTGGTCTTTTAAAAATCCATTAAGCAGAATTGTTTGGCAGTTTTGAAGCTGTTGTTAGTATATTTAGTGTTAGGTTAAACTCACCTGTGTTAGTGTTTTGTCTGTGGGCTCTGGAAATGATACTTCGGGAGCATAACTAAATTGCAAGAATGCGGTGTGTTTTGGAAAAGAAAAAAGGAACATTTTTTTGACGAAAGATTACAGACTATCTAATTCCTCAAGTCTATTTTGGGCAAGGTTTGTGGGAAGAAAATTAATCTGAAGAAGGCCTAAATATATGTATCTTCTTACCCACAGAATATCATCAAAAAAGTGAACGGTAAGAAGTTTGTGTACAAGTTTGTTTCCTATCCGGAGATTTTAAATATGGATCCACTTGTCGTGGGCCGTATAGAAGGAGACCCTGACCTGACTGGTTTTGCGGAAGTCAGCAGTGCTCCAAAGGATGTGGAAAACTGTGGGAAGGAGAAGTCTCAGTCGTGTGCTAAGTCCTCCAGCCGCAATGACTATATCCACTCAGGCCTCTACTCCTCCTTCACTCTGAACTCCCTCAACTCTTCCAGCGTCAAACTCTTCAGGTCCATCAAGATCGAGAATCCAGCTGAGAAACTGGCGGAGAAGAAACCTGCTCAGGATCCAACCCCTTCTGTCATCAAGTTTGTCACCATGCCCTCCAAAAAGCCTTCCTCCGTCCCCCTGGTCTCCACCACTTCAGCGGTCCCTGTCACTTCCACTGCCTCTTCCACGTCAACCGCTTCCTCTCTTCCCATGGGATCGGAAGAAACTCTCCAGACCTTGGAGACCCTTGTTCTACCCAAGTTAACTGTCCCTGAAGCTCCAGCACCTTTGCCAAACTTAACCACCAGCTTCACCCCGACTCCCCCCATCTCCTCGGTTTCTCCCACCCTGCAAGTCCCTTCCACGCCCCCGTCGCCCCCCCTGAGCTCTAACCCTGACCTGGACATTGACACGGACATCGAGTCCGTGGCTTCTCAGCAGCTGGAGCAGGCTCAGAGCCTTCAGCATCAATCCCCGGAGCCCAAAGAGCAGGATTCCTCGGTGCTGGAGAAGGAATTTGCCAATCACCTCTCCAGATCGAAAAAACCCAAAGGGCTGGAGTTGGCTCCTACTCTTGTCATCACAGGCAGCGATCCGAGCCCGCTGGGGATTCTGAGTCCTTCTCTCCCAACTGCTTCTCTTACTCCAGCACTTTTCTCCCAGGTAACTTAATTCCCTTCCTGTTCGTTGGGGTGGGTTTTTTTTTTTTAAGTAACAATAGCGGTGATGTTATATTTTAAAACGCCAAGGGAAGGCAAGTGGAAAGTGAATAGTCAGTCGGTTGTATTTGGAGTTCTGAAACTCAGGAGGTCACTCCCGTTTTTTTTCTTATAAAACAGAGAGTTTATTGGCAGTTGGAGTTGGCTGCCTCCCCGCCGTGTGCCCGGGCGGTTTGTCAGCCGGTCCCGCCTGCGCAGGGTCTGCGTGTGGAGGCAAAACCCAGACCAGCACCAACAGGATCCTTTGGAAATCCTGCCAGGGTGATATTGAATTATTTCAAAAACCCTGAACCCTGCCCTCATCCTTCGGGCGGATTCTGAAAATGCTTTAGAAATAGAGAGCCTGGGAGGTGTGTGTTCAGCAGCTTTGTTTTGCTTGATGCCGTAGCCATTTACTTAAGATCTGAGTATTGTGATTTAACGGCAATAAGAGCAGCTGCTTAATTTGGTGGTTATATTTGTGTGGGAAAGGAAAGCTTTTGTGCCTCATGGAAAATTCGGAAGAGAACGGAGCCCAACTACACTGTTAAATTGTTCTGTGTGTATTCAGTCTCTTTCCTGCGATAAATTGGAATTAGAGTGCAACGGTAGGAAAACTGCTGATTGAAAACTGAAATGGCTGAAGACAGGAAAAAAAAAAAAAATCAAGTGCAGTTGCTCTTTTGGCACCTTTCGAAGTGTTTGGCCGGTGAACCTGGAACATCCAGAAGGTTCAGAAGCTGGATGTAAATGTCTTTTGTTGTGGCTTCCATGGTCAGTGCTGCCCAGACCCTGCCAGTGCCCGGTGTCTGCTCCCTCGGAGCCCATGGAGTGGGTGTCCTGGAGCCAGTGCAGGTGCTGGGTGCTGCAGGAGGAGCAGATTTCCTGTGGGTCATGGCAGGATTTGGCTGCTTTTGGGAAAAGAGGAACGATGGCTCCACGAGGGGAGGGAGAGCCGGATGGTGGCGGGGTTTGGAGGGAGGTGGGAGGAGGAGGAAGGAGGGAATGGGAATTCCTGAGATCCGGACCCAGCCCTTTGCAGCTGCAGGAGTGGGGATTATTTGGGCTGGATTTACACGTGCTCTGCTTCCCTTGGTGTGGGTTTCACACGGGCTCACCCTCTCCCTGTGTTTTGCAGACTCCCATCTTGCTGACCCCGAGTCCCTTGCTCTCCAGCATCCACTTCTGGAGCACGCTCAGCCCCGTGGCTCCCCTCAGCCCCGCCAGGTTGCAAGGTGCTAACACCCTCTTTCAGGTAAGTTCCAGCCAATTCAGGCAATCTCTGCCTTTCTCAGTGGACCTGGAGCCCAAATATCTCGTGTGGAAACGAAACAGTGATCTTTCTGTTTTCTATCCCCTATGTTAGCTTTTGAGGGCGTTTAATTTTAGCGTTTTCCCAGTTTTATTTAAGTATATTGTAAACGTTGGTATTTCAGAAATGTTTTAAACAAACAGCAGGTTGTGCTGTAGTTAGAGAGAGATTGGGGTTTTTTTTAGGTCTGTCCTTCCCGTTCAACTTTTGCCTCCCTGTAATTTTACTGGTTGAGAGTGTCCTGGAAATTGAATTTTGCTACCCTCTTGGTTATTTTAATCATTTGTTAAAAGACATTAATTACATCTCACCACCAGTAAGAAGGAATGTGTGATCTCTGTGGTGCTATAGAGCACGGTTCTCTATGATCTCTATATTCTGCTATTTTCCATTTGGATATTCTCAGCCTCACTGTTTTTAATAAATATTTTTGTTTAACTAAGACATAAGAAAAAAAGTCTCCTATATTTAAAAAAATAAATATTCCTTTAGTCTTCACCATCCACTTTGGAATTGGAGTAACCACGTCTCTTGCCTGAATCTGCTTCAGCAAAGGGTAAAATTTAACTAGTTGTCTTTTGGGTTTATATCTGTCATCTCCATGGAGATGAAGGAAGTAGCTTATACGTACCGTGAGGACAGGGAATAAACAAGTAGGTCTGAAAATACATTGGACATTTTTCTCTATAAATAGCTGATAATTAACTGAGGAACAATTCAGTCCGTGGTTTCCCAACAACCTGTATTAAAGTCACTTATCAGCTGGGGACACGGGCAGTGCACATGGTTTCAGGCTGGGTCCTCCTGGTGACACTGGTTATAACAGGCTGTGATGCGGGGGCATTTAAAAAGGTAAATTACTCGGGGGAAACCGAGAAGATTCTTCGAAAGTTTGGGTTGTTTGGTTTGTTTTTTTTCTTTGGTGTGTTTTGGTTTTGTTTTTTTTCCTGAGGGAGCTTCTACTTGCAGTGATAGGAGAGGAACCATGAGTGAAAGTGGCCTCTTCCCTAATCCTTTCTGTTTTGTCTCGTAGTTTCCATCAGTGCTGAACAGTCATGGCCCATTTACTCTCTCTGGACTGGATGGACCCTCTACCCCCGGCCCGTTTTCCCCTGATCTACAGAAGACATAGCACACGAACTCATGGAAAGGACATATTGGCAAGCAAGGGAAAAAGATATGACACTTCTATTTAACCATGTTTTTTTAAATGAGCAATTTATAATTCCACAGAGATTATCAACAATCATAGTTTTTGCCATTCCCAAATAAAATGCCTTTTTTTTGCAAAATTCCCTTTTTGGAAGACCCAGGTTGGGAATGTATATGCAAACGCCTTAATAAGGAGCTGAAGCTCCAGTCTCTTCCCTTCCCTCCTCGGTTTGGAAGATTCACTCTGCTTAAAGGGAGGATTTCGGTCGGTGTCGCAGTAACTGACTCTGCACCCAGCGCAGCAAACGGGATCAGAGAAGTCTTTTTTCTGTGACTCTTGGAAAAAAAAACCCAACAAAACCCTCTGTTCTTCTGCTTCCTGTGCTTGGCAAGAAGAAATGTAATGGTGATGGAAGCTGGCATTCCAGGAAATGCTTGGGAAAAGGGGTGTGTGCATCGACTTTGCCTTGGGGCCTGATAACTTCTGCAGCAACGGACCAGCCCACGTCTTTTCTGCTGTAAAAAAACATCTTGTTTTTTTTTTTTTTGCCGGGAGAAATTTTCAAGGAGTATTCGATGATTGTGTTCCTGAGATATGGACAATTTTGGAATGGCATTGGAGACCCACCGTCCGGCCCCGCGCAGGGCTGGAGACGGATGGATGGTGGGATTTAAGTTCCTTTCAGTTCTCGGAAAGTTTGAATGCTGAAGTCCAAACATTTCTTGTGCCAGAGACCTGTTACCGAGCCCGTCGTCTCACTGCTAGAAGATTAGCAGGATTTTACGAGGTTTTGAGGGTGCATTTATGAGGTTGCTGCCTGATGCTCGAGTCTCAGACCCAAACAGCGGGCGAGAACACTAACCCCTGAGCATTAACGTTACTGCTCTTCTCCCACAGCCCGAGTGGAGAAGCTCCTCTTCTACCAGCACTTATCTCAAGTTTTGCATTAGATTTATTGCTTTTTTCTTTCGTTTGAGGAAGCGCTGAGACCCAAAATGTGGTATGCTCAGTGCACATGGCTGATGGAGAGGGGGACCACGGCGTGTCACCTTGGTGTCAACTCACACTCGCGTGGCTTTTCTTGGTGGCCGTGTGTGTGTGTGGATTAATACAGGGCTCCTTTCCATTTATGAACGCTGACAAAATGAAATTTGTAGGTAGGTTCTTACACCTCGAGAGGCCTTTTAAGAGAACTGAGGAATAAAAGGAGAGAGAATGTCCTCTCCTGGCCCCTCGGAGGCTGCATTTCTGGGGTGGTTGGTGCTGGGCAGTGTGGGCTTCCCCTTCGGGCATCCGATGCCAGGCAGCAACTTCTCTTTGCGTGGAGTGGGTGATGTAAGATAACCTCCTCCCTAAAATACCCACCAGAACACGGATGGAGACCATCTCTGTCCTTTGGCATCCTCGCTGGCTGTCTTCACAAAGTTGTACTGAGCAGAGGAGGATCGTACCTTTCCAGCAAGAGGAGCTGACAGTCTCCGCTGTATATATCGCACCTCTCCCACCGAGCAGGGGGGAAACTCCAGCTTTCCAGAGTTTTTTCCTTTTGCCACTTTTGTAGACTCTGAATTCACTTTAAAGCGTTATGACAATACCCGAGGCTTAATTTCCTGCAGCTGACGTTACCTTTCTATATGCTAGCATTGAAATACGTAAACCACTTGGGATGTTCCTGACATGACACCCCTGGGGCAGGAGGGTGTCACAGAGTTGGTTTTTTGGGCATTGTTCATCCAGAAAGTCCCTTTCCTGGTGGGACTCAAGGGAAAAGGATACGCCTGTCTTTAGGGGGAGGTGGCAGGGAGTGAGCTCGTGTCGTGAACTGTCTTCCTGTGGGGTTACGTCAGGGGCATAACTCTGCTCTGCATCTTAGACATCAGCAGATGCTGGATAAAGTTCCTGTGCCAGCAGCTCTTAAAATGACAATGTGCAATATTGACCTCTTTTTGGTTTTTTTTTTTTATTTTTTTTTTTTGAAATGCAGAAAGAAAACTGCAGTTCATAATTAAGAGCAGGCACCTGGAATTTTCTGGTTTGCATGATGGCTTATGAGTCTGCTCTAGAAAAAAAATATATATAGCTATATATAAACAGCAGCACTTTTAATGGTTGTTTTAGGTTGGCCAATTTTTTGCCCACCGAGTGTGTGGACTTGAGAGCAACGTTGCAGCCTAGGATTAGAATTTAAAAATAATTAATGAGCACTAAAGACTTGCAATTTAATTGCTTCCCTTTCCTTGTCCCCCTCCCCTCCCCTATGGAGAAAAGCCAAGTTTATTTGTTTAAAAGTTGTGTGTGTGCACACATGCACTTAATTTTTTTGTGAACTTGTATCACTTTCAGGACAGGTTTGCGAGAGAACCAAACGGTGCCGTAAAGTGTGTGGGTTGTGCTTTTGGCCTGGTTTGATGCTCTTCTCCAGGTGAGATTGTGCTGCCCTGGCTGGTCTCTGAGATATTCCCACCTCCGGGAATAACTTCTTTGGAGAAAGGCAGGATGAAAACACAGCCTGTGTGTGTTGGTCTCAGTCTGGTTATACCCAACTCCCTGATGGAGGGCACTGAGAAGATCATTGATTTTCCTTCTTAAGCGCCTGCCCATGGAAAATAAAAGTCCTTTGTAGGGTTATAAACTCAGGAGAGAGTTGGGAAAAGCGAGTTGGGAGAGGAGAGGCTTGCTCACCTTTTCTCCATTGCAACTTTTCAGGTCACTTAAGGTAATATTATCTTGTATATATGCTGCCTCGTTAAACAGACGTTGACTAACAAGTATAGAACTGCCAGCTTTTCTGGCTCACATTCCTGACAGAGCACAGTGTGGCTGTGACTTCTCGGAGCTGGGTTATGTGAAATGCTGGTACTTTTCCTAGCTCGCTTCAGGAGCACTTTGCAGCTCGTTGCAACTTGTTTTTAATTTAGTGTAGGGAAGGTGGGGGTTAATATAGGCTTTTTTTTAATTACTAGCAGTCTGTTATATGGGTATAGTACCGTGTTGGTTTAAAAAAAAAAAATAATGCAGCATTACAGAAACATTTTATTGCAATTCATGTTGCTGAAGTAGCCATGGTATTGTGGAATGCTTGGTGATATTTGCATTCATAGGTGGTGGTAGAATTAGACTGGGTGAGCGTGGAGGCTGAACATCTCCCTTGCTTCTGGCAATCTCTTTCCCGTGTCAGTGCTGCTGTGGGATGGCACTGCCGAGCTGGAAGTGGTTTGTCCTGCCTCTGCTGTGTGTCCCGTGGCTGCTTTTCCTTGGGATCCTGAGCTGTCAGGATGCCACCAGCAGGAAGGCTCCGTGGAGAGCAGGACCACGTGAATAACACCCGATGGTTATAGAACCATCTTCTGTCTCACCTGTTTTCAGAGAATGTGATCCTTGTAATGAGGGTGACGGAGGAAAGTGTTTATTTTTTTATTTTTTATTTTTTTTTTCTTAACAGCAGCTTAAGTCTAGATCCTTGTTTCAGAAATCGGTCTTCAGCAGCGACGGCTGAATGTAATTCCTATGCACTGTCTTTGGCACATTCAAGTTGCATTTTGCAATGGGTCAGGAAGTGATAAAATTCCTTGAATTTGAGAATTCCTTGTTTTAACTCAGAGCATCCTAAGACTTCAGTATCCATGCAACCCTTGGTATCATGGAGCGTGCATTGTCATGTGCAGTGGTTGGTTTGGGATAATTTCTCCCTCCGATAATACGTTTTCAAACCTCAGCTCTTTAGCAAACAGGTTCTTCTTGGGTTTTGTAGCGTTCGTTTTAGCCACCTTGGGGGCTGCTTATGTGCGTATCTTCCTTTACACAGCTTTTTGAAGCGCAGCGAGATGCATTGATGTCAGATTCCCTGGTGACTCCAGCTTTCCTTTGTGCCCTGCTGCAGGCTGAGACGTGCTGCGAGCACCAGCCTGGTGCATCGAGGCAGTTCCTCAGGTGAGCACAGGGTCCTGCTCCCCTTCTGGACCATTTTTCCAGCCCTGAGGTCAGAACCCACAGTTCTGACACTCTCTCCTCTCCCCACGGTTTATTCATACAGCTTTTAGTTACCTTTTGCTACCGTTTTATAGCGGTTTTGTACGTACTCATGATTTACTCTACAATTTAACCTCTTCCATTTTTTAACGCATATTTGTTTACAAGACACATCTCAGTGTTGTATCAAGAGGTCTCTTGGTATTGTCAGCTGTAAAGATAAACTACATCAGTAGTTCAGAACATTGTCAAAGTCGACAGGTTATTTTAAAACTTGACGTTTTGAGTTTAGGTGTCCATAACGATTTTGTTCTGTTCTGTTCCTTAGTTCTCCCGTGTAAGAAATGACCCACGTACCTCCTGGCCTCTCGGGTCCCGGGTACAGAGAGTTTATTTTGTCTTAAAAAATCCTGGAGCGCGGATTGCAAACGACCAGCCCGAGCCCCCCAGGATCTTACACTCGGCAGCTAAGTTGAAAATCCATTAGAATTGCAGTCTTGTTGCTTAGAAGCTACTCGGGATGTTTTTTTAATGAGGTCTAATATACGTCTTGCCGAAACAGGAATTTTTATGGTTTGATTTGAATTTAATTAAACGGTTAATTGGCAACGGCTGCTGTTTAGTCTGAGAAGTATTAGCAAATCTGCTTCGTGCGGAAGCCTTTGGCCGTCGCCATCCAGCTGAAGGGTGGGTGCTCTGTGACGTCCTAAGGGTGCTCTGCTGAAACCAGAGCCTTGTCCCGTGGAGATGAAAAGCTGAGACGTGGTGATGGTGGTTCCACACACCGTCCTTCAGGGCCGGTGCTGCCAAAAAAGGCTTTCTCTTGGATCCCCATCCGTGGCCACGGCGTTTGGCTTCCTTTGCGCGGGGAGCGTTGGCCACGTAGGAGCCCTTCGGAAAAGCTGAGTCTGGACAGAGAAGAATTTTTGCAAATAGAACCAGATCTTTTCTCCTTAGCCTGCTTTTAGTCGTAAGGATGTAACAGAGGAGCTACAAAGCCACGGTAGTGGTGGTGCTGCCACGTTTCTGCCATCCCTGTTTCTACCAACAGCCCTTCCTGCTGCAACGTCCTGTCCTGGTGCCATCTAAAGCAGAAAGGTTGAGCTTTGGGTTTGGGTCTCCAGTGGATTTTCAGCTGAGGAATATTATTCTTGCCATTGTACAAAGGCAAAAAAATAAGGGAGAATGTGTTCGCTGCAGATCCTTGATGTTTTTTGGAGGAGGATGCAGCTTTGCCCACCGTAACCGCGAAACCCGCCGCGACCTGAGAGGTGAGAAATCTGGGCAGGACCCAAGGTTCTTCTTGAATGTCTGTGCTGATGCACTTCCCTTTGGGACAGCAAGGTGTCCGCTTCCTAGAAATTATTCTACCAAAAAAAAAAGGTAAAACTGACTAGAATTTATTTTTATTTACCCCTCCCAAAGCATGTAGAAGACTTTGAGCGCGGGACTGTTCCAGGCGTCTGGTAAGAGCTGAAAAACCTCTTTTTAGCTGTGTCCTTGAGGGACTGGAAGAGCTCTCCTTGTGTGAACACACGTGTGTGCACACACATGATCCGTGTAAATAACGCTCACAGCAAATCCTGCTCGGGGCAGTTCCACTTTTAAATGATTTGCGCACGCTGGGGAGGTTTATCGGGGCTTTTTTTTTCCTTGTTTTTTTTTTTTAGTACTCAAATCAATTCTACCACAGTGTGGATTAATTAGTTGCCAAAGGTTATTTTTCAATGCATCTTTGACATTGTTGTATGCCACATCTTTGGGGGGGGGGGGGG